AAACTCCGTGAAGCGATGGCCCTTTATATAAGCTTGAATAAACCTTTCAGGCCGTATGCCAATTGATAAACACCGTTGCTGCTTCGCTGCTGCCCATCGTCCAGCACTTCGATAACAGACTGCTCTGGAGCCGCCTCACATCAATGACATTGTGGGCTCTCGTGACTGAGAATAAGCTTTACGGGTTTAGGGTTTAGGGTTTAGGCTAATTAGGGTTTAGGGTATGCTAAACCCCTAAACCCTTAACCCCTAGTAGAAGGTCCAGACAAAGGGCTTTAGGACACCGGGTTTGGGCTTGGGCCTTCTGGGCCTTGGGTTAGGGTCCGGGAGTTCCGACTTGGGGCTTGGGAGCCCTGACCCCTAAACTCTGTACCCGAAGCCCTAAATTTGTTTAACCCTAAACCTTTAAGCCCTAAACTTTTAAACCCTAAACCCCTAAACCCTAAACCTCTAAACCCTGAGCCCTAAACCCTAAGCCCGAAGCCCTAGACACCAAGCCCGAAAAAAGCCCTAAACCCCAAAACCCCAAAACCCTAAGCCCAAAGCAGTAAGCCCTAGACCCCAAGCCCGAAGCTCTAAGCCCTAAACCCCAAAACCGACCTCAACATAAACGCACCGACCTTAGGGGCTTTCGAGTGTCTGACCTCCCAGCTGCCCATGGAAGAAAACAGCATACCCTACACCCAAACAGCAGTTAAGGGTTTAGGGTTAAGGGTTTAGGGTTGAGGGTTCAGGGTTTAGGGTTTAGGGTTTAGGGTTGAGGGATCAGGGTTTAGGGTTAAGGGTTTAGGGTTAAGTGTTAAGGGTTTAGGGTTTAGGGTTATGGGTTTAGGGTTTAGACCACGAAACCGAAACTTTACGACCCGGAGCCACAAAGAGCCTTGATCCTAGCTTACGCTGCAGGAATTTTATTCGAAAAAAGATTAAGAGGCAAGTTTAGATGTCGGCGAGCTGAGTCGCAAGGAACCCTCCATATGTCCTACGGCTCCTGTACATACGGCCCTTTTAAGAGATGAAGGTTCCCATATGCATTCCTTTCACCATGTCCTTGTGCTATCCTGGTTTGGCGGACGGAAACCCGACTCAGGAGTGAACAGTTCGTGTGATCCAAAACTACGAAACCTTTGCTGAACACCCTCTTTGAGAGCAGGAGATTCTTGTAGGGTTTAGGGTTTAAGGGTTTAGGGTTTAGGGCTTTCGGGTTTTAGGGTTTAGGGTTTTAGGGCTTAGGGTTTTAGGGTTTAGTGTTAGGGTTGACTACTTCAATGTTCTGGTTCCGATCGGGCAGTCCACCTCCGATGCTGGCTGTGCGACGGTGCCCTTGGCCTGATCAAGCGGAAACACCACGGAGACGCGGGGGGCGGAGATTTAGATGGGCTCTGCAAGCTTTGTTGTAACCAAAACAATCCCTAAACCCTAAACCCCTAAACCCCTAAACCCTAAACCCTAAACAGTGCCTAGAAAGCCTGAACACGAGCTAAAACCAAACAAAAGCTTAAAAACTAACACTGACCCCTGGACTCCTACGGAAGATACAGAAGAAAAGCTCGACGTCTGGTGGTGCGCGTTTCTATTGGTTTCGGGTTTAGAGTGTTGGGGATTTTAAGGTTTAGTGTTTAGGTTTAGGGGCTTAGGGTTTAGGGTTTCGGGTTTAGGGTGTTGGGGGAGGGTTTCGTCCTATGTGCGTCAGAGCGTCCATGCAAAGCGTAGGGTTTAAGGGCCCCTCTGCCCGTGCGACATTCCGTGCGGGGAGCTGATTTCCGAACATCCCGGCTCACAAGAGATCGCTGCAAGATAGAAGCTCCCTGGACGCCACTTAAGGTTCGGGATCCTTTGGGTCCGTGGCGTTGGCTTGGGGCTTCATAGTTTAATGTAGGGGCCTGAATATTTTACCGATACTATTTTGGTGGTCCCTTATTAGAAATATAGTATCATATACCCCCAAATCCGATTCTATTTATTAAGGCCCCTACATCCTAAACCCTTTTAGTAGCCCTTATAGAACCCTTTAAGGAACCCTTTCAAGGAGCCCCAAAACCCTATTCTACTTATTTAGGCGCCTAAATTAGACCTTGGGGTGTGGGCTTTGAATGGTCCGGTCCTGTGGCTCCTGGTTTTCAGGGCTCCAAAGTTCAAAGAACTTATGGTCTAGGGTTTAGGACTTAGGGTTAGGGGTTTAGGGTTTAGGGTTTAGGGGTTTAGGGTTTAGGGGTTTAGGGGTTTAGGGGTTTCGGGGTTTCGGGGTTCAGGGTTTGGGGTTTAGAGGGGGCTTAGGGGTTTAGGGGTTTAGGGTTTCAGGGTTTAGGGTTTAGGGTAACTAGTCTCCCTCCTGTCCCGCCGGCGGCGACAGTGCGAATGGCGAAGGCGCCTGCCCAGAATGTTGTGTTTCTTGAGAGTTTCAAGTGTCGGGCTTCGGCCTTGGAGTTGCAAATCAAGTTGAGGGTTTAGGGGTTCATTGAGGGTTTTGAGGGTTTAGCATTAAGACTGTACTTTCCTATCAGAGAACCGCAGATAGTATTCTAGAGCTCTGCGACTAGCAGCCTCTCACGCAGTACACTTGACATTCTCTCAAACGCAGACGAACAGCAACAAACAGACACACACACACATGCAAGAATGCAAAGCTTCAACGTTCCATGCTTCGACCGACAGAATTGCTGTTGTAGGCAACATGAGCTGGCTTCTTCAATTCATTCTGAAGTTTTTGTGGATCCGGACATCGGCCAGAAAATTCTAAGCCCCTAAACCCTATAAACCCCAAGCCTAAACCCCAAAGCCCAATTCAACAGCAGCTTGCCTGAAAAAGTGAAGCCAAAGGGGCTGGTGCTGCTGTCTCTGCTTCCTGGAGCGCCTCAAGGAATGGATTCTGCTCCAGCTATTAGGGTTTAGTTACTATACGGGCCGAGATAGGAGGGTTCAGAGCTTGTCGCTTAGGGTTTGGAGGGTAGAATACAGCATAACAAAAACTGGGAACCACGGCTGCAGCAATATTAGCAGTTTAAGTTGCTGTGTTAGCTGTGCTGGGGCAATAGTCCGGAAACCCGTGCTGCTCGATCTAGTCCACAACCCGTCAACCACAACCCCGGGGTAGGCACAGGGCAGGCTTTGACTTGAGAACAACCCCAAAACCCTAAACCCTAAACCCAAAGCCCTAAACCCTAAAGCTATAAGCCTTAAGTGAAAACCCCCAAACCCTGGAGCCTTTGCACCGGGGCTACTACTCGACTCTGACATTTGCAGGCTCTTGTTTTCTAAGGCTTGAAGGTTTAGGGCCGTTTGGGGTTTGAAGAAAGCTTTTTAATGAGGGTGGGGGGGGGGGGGGGGGG